AATGGACACGCTACCTTTGCAAAGTTCCCATCTTTTTGTGATTTTTTAGTCTGTAAGGATGCATCTTCAGAATAAGTAGAATTTTTCTTCTTTTTAAGATTTCTCAGTCCTTAAAGATGAAGTCATGGCTTTCCTTTAAAACTGTCTACAATGAAGGTGTTTCTATTGAGCTAGAAGGGATGACAATGGTCTTGAAAGACTTCCCTAATGTACGTTTTATTCTCTCTTTCTGAGGATTCCATCATTCCTTGGTCATGGATATTTTCATTAATAAAGCTACGATGCTTTTAAGTTGGAAAGGTTATATCCACTGACATGCTTGTTGATATCCCTCTGGTCAATTTTTGTCAAGAATATTTCTGCTTATTACCAGAACTCTGGAAAATGCTGCAATGTATAGTTTATCATAGAATTAGTTTATCATAGTCTTTAAGTAAGCATTTTGTTGTTGAGGACACCTGTAAAAGATTTTTTATATTTCTTTCTTCTTGTTAGAGGAACCACACAAGAACAGATGTTCTCTTCTTCCTTGAGTATGTCAAAGTGAAGACTTCAATTTATTAACATTTAAGACTGTCCATATTCTTGTTGAAAAGGAACCACTGCTCATTCACAACATGCAAAACAAAGTTTTGCTACATTTTTGAATTTCTATTTCTAAAGGAAAAATCCAAATTAAATCTTCAAATGAGCTTTTGGCATGAATGTCAGTATCCCATGTCTTCCAACACCACTACATTACTATTGACATGACCCAAAATATAAAATCAAAGGTGTACAAAGAAAAAACATAAGCTGACCTTCTGTGACCATGAACTGTTCCCTGTTATAAACCTCGTTTAAGATTCACATCTGACACAGCACATATAAAGATCCTGCCTAATTAGGCAAGGGAAAAAAATTACAATTAATTTTAATTTTGCTGTACGACTACTAGCCTGTCATCCCATTAAAGATCTCCAAACTGTGGGAATGGTGTCTTTCAAGGTAATAAATTACTCAATACATGCCTAGGTTGAAAGGGTTGACTGTATTTAAGTAAATATCCTAAAAAATTTCTAAATATTCCACTGAAGATTATTTTAACTCATGTTCTTAATATGACTAACAGCAGTCTCAACCAAGCTCTACCATCAGCTAGTGGGAACTAAGTGGGTTTATGATAGAGCCTTTATCTCATAGACTCTCAGTGCATAGACCTTCTTTGCATACCACCTGAAATGCCAGCTATATATGATTTGTGGCAAAAATTAAAAGTCAAGCCTAGAATAACTACTGAGTGAAATTTCAAATAAAGCAGGAGTAGACAAATGTAATTTCTGGCATTGTAACATTCTACACAAGGTATCTGTACGTCAGTAGTGTTGATGATACTCTGACAAGTTATTAGATCTGTTACACCATTTAAATTCTCTTTATATATGAAAAGTGAAGTCACATCTCTCCCATACCAGAGATATTTCACTTATTGTTAATCATCCATAGTTACTGTGTCTAATCAAATTTGGTAACACATGCTGCCTTTGTAGTCAAAAGAGAGATGAGCTCTCACTCATTTTAGAGTAAGAAATAGGACTGGGGATGGATAGTTAACCACAAGCTTTAGCTGTCATCAAGCACTACACAGTATACCTATATGCCAAGACTTGAAGGACAGACTTCTGTCAGACTCCATGGATATTATTACAAAAAATTCCTAACATACACTGCAGAAAGAATAGTTTTTCATGTAGATAAATTATAGACATCACTGATAAAAGAGGAAAATGAAGATGTACTTACCAAGAAAAACAGAGGACTCACAGTAGTAATAGCCATTGGGTTGCTTTTTTTTCAACATAGAGCAAAGATCGAAGCGATGCAGGATTTCATTTCCAAAATAATGGCTTTTATAATCTTCATAAAGGCTTGAGTCAATTTTTTTCACCTTTAAATATGAATATAAAGTTCAATTACAGGTTCTGCTAGAAGACTGAACTTTCACATTTAATGCCTATAGTTTTCATTTTAACCAGAGTTTTTGTTAGAATGGAAATTTGCTTCAAAATGAGAGAAGAGTACTGAAACAATGCTATGCCAAATATTCTGTTTCAGCTACGCAGTTATCTACTGCAGAACTTAAACAAAGAATTAAAAATGTCATTAAACCTCCTTTCTACTCATTCTTCTTCAGTCATGTACCATACACAACACTGCAAGTGCTTTAATTTCAAATGGTTTGCAAGAGTCTTCATGGAACACTTAACTGTAAATTATTCTCCATATCAGCACCAGGCAAGTTATTACAGAGAAAAATCTCAAATGTTTGTCAAGAGCAGTTTTATGTTCTCAAAGTCATCAAATGGAAAATATGTACTTTTTTTTTCCTTTTTTTTTTTCCCTAACAGATTGGCGCTGTGGGGACACAGGCTCTATGATGGACGTACTTGCTGCTGTTCTCTGTGCAGGTGCCACTGGTAGGAAGGCTGAGCACGTATCCCCAGACATAGGCAGAAGTGTAGAGGACATACACTGAAAGTGCCCCAGCAAGACACTGGTGCAACAGTACCCACAGATAGGGCAGACAGCAGACAGACCCCACTCCAGCATCTAGCACTGAGACTCCACTGGCTCCAGCCACTGACACAGCAGGCCTGCGGCACTCACACACTGCCCTAACTCGAGATTCACACACACCAGTCCCCCCAGTAGCTGGCCCCTTATCCCTGCAGCACACACAGGACTGGGAGTAAGATCACGCAGACAGCTGGTTAAGAGGCGATTTAATAAAACAGGACAGCTTTCAGTGGTCAAGCAAGTGCTGTTTTACATGATTTTTTACACTCTTTTTTGTCCCTCCTTTGTTTCTCCAATATCCCCTTCCCCAGTATGTTCGTCCATTAGTTTGTAGTCTCACCTTTAACATCCTTTAACATCCTGGACCCTCAAGGTTTACACAAACCAACAGTTGCGATGTCCTATTTTGCCTGTACTTTCCCAGCAGCCCACCAATTAGTGTCATTGGCAACGTTTGTTTCTTGGTTTTGGCTGTATTACATTTGCCTGACAGCTTTGAGTCTCTATACATTTTATTTATGGCTTCTCTCTTCCCCTTATCACCCCACTTGACAAGGCCTTCTACTAGACAATCTGATGGAAATAAGCATTCCCACACTCCACACACTCATAGCAATCACTGTGACTGACTAGGTTTAACTCTTGTTGCTGTCTCCTTAATCATGTTAGTCAGGCTTGTGTCTCCATATGCCACTTCTTTCGGCTTCTTGCTTTTCTTATTATCTCCATCCACACTGAAAAGGTCCTCTACCAGATGCCCCAAGGCAGATAGATGCTCTCTCCTTCCACATACCTTTATACAACATCCATTTGTCTAAGCAGTGCACATACTCATTTCTTGTGATCCTTTCACAGTTACTCGCATGCAATATGTGCTCACTGAAGGCTTTCTACTGAGTTTTTACTTCAATAAAGATTCACTTCAGAAGAACCTTGTTTCTGTAAGTACCTGCACATTTGGTTCTATCATTGTAAGTCTTGTTCAACCAGGTCAGAAATGTCTTTCCAGTTCCTTAATCTCTGAAATGATGACATCTAGTGGTGGATGTTTTCTATCTAAGGTACACAATCTCCTTGTAAGTGTAAGTGCATTCCAAACTCACTCATTATTTAAAATATGATATTCTATGGCTGAAATAGTTCTTAGATAATTTTGAATTCTAGCCTACTTTGAAACTAAATCATCAATTGTGTTCTCTGGCTGACAGTTCTTTGAAATACGCTTAGTCTTCCATCAGTAATTTAAAGAAAGACCTTTTCAGCCAGGAGAATGCTTGTCAAAATGTGAAGCCTCAAGTACTCGGTGAAGAAAATGAGGGAGGAATCCAGGGAAGAGATCGACATCATCATGCTCCAGTAAGAAACAGCATTCAAAAGGGGCTGGGATGGTGCTTGTCAAAAACAGATTGGTTGTGAGTGAATCAAATGCTAAATGGTCAGGAATTGAGTTTTGCTGTTGACACATTCCTGGAAGATATTTGGAAACCTGAATGACATTTGTACTGACTTGGAGCAGTTGATGTAGCCCTGCCTGCAATGGCTGCAATGAGGTGCTGATGGCAAAAGGATGAAACAATGCAGGTGCATGGGAAGGTCATGGCTCATTTATACGAACGTGCCTGGAGCAGTGGAGAAGAGGAGCTGTTTCCACATGGGAAAGCTACAGACGCTCGATTACGAAGACGTGCTGTACTTGGGTGCTGGGTGGGGAGGAAGAAAACACCCGGCCTCTGAAGCAGTGCCGCAGTGAGCGGAGTCCTTCGGGGCACGCGGCCGTGCGAAGGGCCCGCAGCGCAGCAGCAGAGCCCGCCGCCTGCCGACGGCCGGGCTGGCATCGCGGCGGCCAGAGGGGGCGCTGCGGACCGGGTGGAGCGGCTCGGCCCCGGCGCAGTGCCTCCCTGACAGGCCGGGAGCCAGGGAAGGAAGAAGGGGGTTGAGGTGGAAGTCGCGGCCTTCACACAGCCGCAGTGAGGTGTTCACCGGTGGGCGAGGAGGACGAGTGGAGGGTAAGGAGAGGAGCTGGAGGCAGAGAGGTGGCTGTTACTGTGGCTTCTGTAAGGGAGACTGGCTGACCCCTACAGCAAACGTTCATCTGCTGGCACAGAAATTGGCACTGTGTGAAGAAGCAGGTGCATAAATAGCAGGGAGACCCAGCTGACCAGTCCGTGTGGCTGTGTCTTTGCAAGGCACCGTGGTCAGTGGGGCGGGCAGTTGGTTTTGTATGTGCGTACATATGCACAAGTACGCTGCTGTATTTATGGGCATTTGTGCTTACTTCTGGTAAAGCTGCACAGTTCACTTCACAGAAATGCTGGGCGTAGGCCTGAGTTGCTGAGGTTGGGAAGGACCTCTGGCAATCACCCATCTGCCCTCTGGCTCAAAGCAGTAGCCTGCATCAGGTTGCACTGGACCACATCCAGTCAGGGATTTTGTTCTCCAGTAGAATGAGTGCCACATCAACCACGAGTTGCCCCTTGCCATCACTGCTTGCGCCTGAACAAGAGGAGCAAGAGTGTTCTGACATACATATGTCTGTCTTGTGGTATGCAGGGGAGTTTGCAGTTACTTACTATGATACAGAAGATTGCTCAGTTTACTTCATGCCTGACACACCTGACAGTGAAGGCCTCGAGCTGCTGCAAAAAGTGACTGGGGAAGTTCATCCTAAATGCATAGTGACAAGTGCAAAACAGGATCAGAATATTGCCAATTTCCTGACCAACCTAGCAGACAGTGATAGCGATAAAGGAAAAATAGAAATTGTCCTGTTTCCTAACATAGATTTTGGCCTAGAAGTCAGCAAGCAACGAATTCTATCTAGACAATTTCCATTTATCCCATCCCATATGACTGCAACAGAAAAAATTCTTTATTTGTCCTCAGTCATCCCTTTTGAGTGCCCACTCATGATAAGAGCATTAGGGGGGCTCCTTAAGTACCTCGACAGGAGAAGGGTTGGAGTTGAACTGGAAGAAAGCGGTATTGCAGTTCCTGTTTTAGCCTTTAGAAAGTTTGTTCTGTCAGAAACTGTGAATATAGACCAAGACACTTACAGTGTTCTACAGATATTTAAAAGTGATATCCATCCTTCTGTGTATAAACTTTCTAGTGGATTAAAAGAAGGATTCAGTTTATATGGGATTTTAAATCGCTGTAGGTGCAAACGGGGAGAAAAACTTTTGAGGCTGTGGCTTACACGACCTACTCGGAACCTGACAGAGCTAAACAAACGGCTGGATGTTATCCACTTCTTCCTGTTGGCTCAGAACCATGAAACAGTCCTTACCCTTCAAGATTGCCTCAGGAATATAAAAAATGTGCCTCTTATTCTAAAAAGAATGACTCTATCCCATACAAAAGTTAGTGACTGGCAAGCACTCTATAAGACAGTGTGCAGCGCACTGTGCCTTAGAGACACATGTCGCTCTCTGCCCCATAGTATTGAACTCTTTCAGATTATTTCACGCGTCTTCACTGATGATCTGCAATACATTGCTAGTCTTATCAGCAAAGTGGTGGACTTTGAAGGCAGCATCTCACAAAATCGCTTCACTGTTAGACCCAATGTGGATCCCACCATTGATGAAAAGAAGCGAAGGCTAATGGGTCTGTCAGACTTTCTTACAGAAGTGGCACAAAAAGAACTGGAAACGTTGGACAACCATATTCCTTCCTGTTGTGTGATCTACATTCCTTTGATTGGGTTCCTTCTCTCCATTCCACGGCTACCGAGCATGGTGGATAAAAATGACTTTGAAATTGAAGGCTTGGACTTCATGTTCTTGTCAGAGGATAAACTGCACTACAGAAGTGCTAGAACTAAGGAGCTAGACAGCCTGCTGGGTGACTTGCACTGTGAGATAAGAGACCAAGAAACACTTATTATGCACCAGCTGCAGGCAAAGATCTTGGAGAGGTCTGAAGTGCTTAACAGCGTGATTGAGTATACTGCACACCTGGACGTGCTGTTGGCTTTGGCAGTGATGGCTCGGGAGAACTCCTACTGCCGGCCACGCTTTACTCAGCGCCAGGGCTTCCACATCAAGGACGGAAGACATCCACTGATGGAACTATGTGCAAAGACATTTGTGGCTAATCCTGTGAACAGTGGTGAGGCTACCAGACGAATAAAGATAATCACTGGGCCCAACTCATCTGGAAAGAGCGTCTACTTAAAGCAAGTAGGTCTTATAATATTTATGGGTCTAATTGGCAGTTATGTGCCTGCAGCAGAGGCAGAGATCGGAGCAATCGATGGGATTTACACAAGAATCCACACTAGGGAATCAGTTTCTGTAGGACTCTCCACATTCATGATTGATCTTAACCAGGTTGCCAAAGCAGTAAACAATGCCACAGAGAGGTCATTGGTACTTATCGATGAGTTTGGCAAAGGGACCAACACACTAGATGGCCTGGCCCTTCTGGCTGCTGTGCTGAAGTACTGGATCAATCAAGGAACCCAGTGTCCGCAGGTCTTTGTGTCCACTAATTTTCACAGCTTAATGCAGCTGGAACTTTTGCCTGACACACCTCTTCTAGAATACCTCACCATGGAGACTCACCAAGATGGAGATGAATTGGTGTTTTTCTATCAGATCAAACAAGGAGTATCCACTGTTAGTCATGCTGCCAACATTGCTGCACTAGCTGGAATGCCTGCCAAAATTATTGAAAGGGGAGTGGAAGTATCAGAACTGATTCGCAATGGAAAAGCTATCAAACGTATTGATCATCCTTCAAAAGGTGACCAGATGGAAAAATGCAAGGCTATTGTTGAAAAGTTTCTTAGCCTAGACCTTGATGATCCTAATGTGAACTTAGAAGAGTTCATGCATAAAGAGGTATTGCCCTCTGCAGCCTCAATTCTATAGCATGGCTATGTCTAAAAGCATATATTACAAGGTATCTGCCACGTTCGATAGGGTGGCTTGGTAATTTCAACAATAAAGACTATGACTAATGCCTCACACTACATTTCACTTTTAAAAATTGTCTATAATGTATGTCATTTCTTATTCTTGTTTAAAATCAGTATGGTAGTTGTATATCCCTGTATGGTGCATGATATGAAAGCAGGAAGACTTGAAAGAGGAGAGAACCTCTTCCAGCTGTTGGATCGTGCATTTTGAGCCCCTACTGTTAGATTCTCAGACTGAAAAAATACTGTAGAAAAATCAAAATAGTTCTGCTGGTCTCATAGCACTATAAAAACAAAGTGTTGATTGTTTTGTTGAAGTAATCATTTCAGTCATTTTAGGATCATCATCAAAGAATCACATGTAAGTATGTGCTTTGGACTCCCAGATCAACAGATCATTTTGTTACAGTACAAACCACTAAAGTAGACAGTGCTTAATGGAAATATAGAGGGATTTAGTGAGCTCTGTGACATTTAATAAAGCTGCATTTCTGGCCATAAAGGCAGAGAGATTCCAAGAGCTGATATAAAAAGAATGGGAGTCAGAATCATTGGGGTCTAACTAGAGGGGAAACGCTTTGGTTTTATCGATAATCACTCTCTTAAGGTCCTGCAGAGTAAGAGTACATAACTATGCTTTGTGAGTACAAAAACAAAATTACAAGTCCAGGAAATGGTAAACTATACTAGGCATATAAGGCAGGAAAAACCAGCATTTTTTTCAACTATTCAACTAAACTTAAAAGATTAATACCAGAGCAAAGGAGTCCATTTCACTTTTGTCAGTGCCAAGGATCAACTCTGAACCTAGCATTTGATCACTGAGTATGCAACACATATACATGAACAAGTGAATAAAGAGGAGGCATGATATGTAACTATCACAGAAGTAATAACCTTCTCTGCAAGAGCATTAAGTGCCTTATCTAAGTTATCTAAGACAGAAAAGACATGAGATAACTGATTGTCTGTAACTGCTAACAGTATTGCTAATCAGAGAGAATCAGCAGATACATTGGATCTCTGTTCAGCTCTACTTGATTTCAGGAAGCCGAGATTCCACTATCACTAATTCAAGAGAAAAAAAATTATATGAGAAAAAAAAAAGTTATATTCATAATTACTAACATTTAGATACTTAACATAGATACTAAACATTTTATCTGTTTGGTATGTTTTACTGACGACAGCAAGAAGGTGAACGTGAGTGTCCACCAAAAAGATCTGAAATTAGAGACAGTTCAGTGTAGGCTCAGTGCAGAATGTCCTCCTTTTATGATGTGCATTTATGACACTACAAAATAAGGAACTTTTGTTATCTATAATGAAACCAGGATAGTGACAAAAGTTTAACATAAACTACATTAAAAATACAAGAGTAAATGACCAAACTGTGCAGTTTTGCTGCTATTTTCAGTGTAATAATACTGCCTGCAAAATAATATCTAACATCTTGGGGATATTACCACTGAAGTTGAATGACAGCAGTGAACAGGCCATGCACTACACTTACAAGTGTTGTGTACAGATTTTTCTCACAAATATATTCTCTTTTATTAATTATACATACTGCATTCTAAATATGTGCTGCATAGAGTTATATCATATGTCAAATATTCTTAAATTATACTTTTGGAATACTTTCTTGTCAACCTATGCCTAGACTAAGGATATACAGCTTTTTAATTAAGCAGATGCTATCTGAGCAGTGTAATTGCCAGTCATCTACTAACAAAATCCATTTCATCACATTTGCAGTTCAGGCAGCAGTATATGTACTAAAGGATCTCTGAATATTAGCATTTATCTCTGAATAAACAGCATTTATCAGGTGTGCCTCACAACACTCCCTGAAATAAATAGCAGATGAATGAAAAACAGAGGGTTGGGACTGACCTACACCAACGTAGCAGAATAGTGAGGGAAACAGGAATAGAAATGTTATTTTTAAGTGCAAAACTCAGTTACTTCTTTCACTGTGTTTCAGATGTTCTTTGTTCAGAAGATAATGATACTAACCCAGTATTCTTACCATCCAAGTCAGCTGTGAAAACAACTAGGCACGTGCAAGTAAATTATCTGCCTTTGTCTCAGTCCAAAGGCACCCAAAGACACACAGTGCCTGCTTAATCTGGGGAAGTTTTCCATGGCGCATTTGATTTCAGGATTGTCAAGCTGAATGTGAAGAATGAGTTTCTGAGCAGTTAAGAAGGTTCTTTAACCTGAGAAGCTGAGAGGGCACTCAGGCAGCTCTTTCCTTGTCCACTTTATCTGAAATGTTATCCTTCACTAATTTTGATTTCCAAGGTTGTGGGGTTTTTTTTGTTTGTCTGTTTTTGTTAATATTTATCATTTATCATTTTGTCTATTTTTAGCTTAATGCTGTGACTTCAAAGTGCAAAACTGTTTTCTTGAGATTTTTCTTCATTTTGAACTCTCAAACTCTTTTACATTGTAAATACCCATGACAACTTTGGAAAGTTCAGGTCTTCTCAGAAAATACATAGGTCACAAAATGTAAAAAGATATTTAAAATTATTTTTACAAAAGGAAATGTTGGTGGAGTTTAGATGTCATTGTATGGAGAATGGTTTAAAGTACTGATTCAAATTAGAAATCTCACATTTTAAAAAATACTGATATATTTTTGAAGCTGTAGCTATGAACTAAAGTCAACTACTTTGTTCTGTTTACTCTTTTATATGCTTTCTCATGCCATCATCATCCACTCTCCATTTCTTGTTTTTCATGCTGTTATATGATCTGAAAATGCAATCCAACATTATGTTAAGAAATACAACAAAATAGATAGAATTTCTGTGTTTCATGTTGTTATTTATTGTTGTCAGGAAATGCAACGAAACTATCTTACTAAATATATGGACACAATTAAACTAAAAATGATAGAGAAGACTGATGCTAATGCCAGACAGTGGATTGACTGACAAAAATTCCTGATAATTTACAGATTTTTAATACATAATATCTTTCTAAACAGTGCATCTTCAGAATACTATGTGTATTATCCAGTATTATGGAGGACTAAGGAAGATGATTTGAAATGACACCGACCCGGTTCTGTCAGTAGCTGTGAATATCAGAACACAGAAAATATGTATCCTGGCCAATACTTCATGCAAGGTAGATAAATGTTTAAAAAAAAAAAAAAAAAAAGCAGACTGGCAAAAAAGCACCTTGATTATCTGAGATGTTTTAACAAAACAGTTACATGGGTGAACAGCTGATATTCTGCAAAAGCTGTGGATTTTTAGAATGTTTTAAAAAGCAGCTGTTAATACAAGCAAAAGCTTCAGCCTACAATTTGATGAGCTATAACACATCACCTACAACCTGCAGACAAGTCCTTATTTTGCTTCAGAGCAATTATGCATTATGTCCCTGAAGCTACTTAATACATCTCAGAACTCATTCCATCTTCCAGCTGATTTCAGAATATTCCTTAATTAAGATCTTCACCTTTCAGATTTTATAGTTTTTTTCTAATGAATAAAGTACTTTAATGCTTGCTAAATCACCTGACAATAATTGTACTGTGTACTTTAATCCTTATTTTTAGAAAATATTTCTTCTGAAAATTACTTTCCAAGCCAATGTTGAAAGGTTACATAGAGCACTGTATTGTGCTTTATTATACCAGCAAAGAAATTTTATGGAGATAGATCTTATGTTAATAATAAATTACTGTTAAGTTTGTGTGAAATAAAAAGCTAAATATCCTATTATTGCTTCTCTATATTTCTCATTATAGTTATTGTAGCTTACTTCTAAGTTTGTCTACTTTTTCTTGTAAAAAAAAGCTAATAAATGGGCAAGAAATAGATACCTGCAAGAGAATATAATGCTGCCTTTTATCACTACTGTGTAATTCAACAAAACATATTCAATCAAAAGAAATGCAAGCCTGCACATTATGCATAATCAACATATAAATTCCCCTGCTTATTTACCTATTTTCTCCCACAGAGTAACCAAACAATATCCACGCAAGCAGCATATAAATTCTGTGACAGCATTTCCAACTATGTCATCTACACCTTAGTACTAATTCTGTAATTTTGAACAAGTAATTCCACCTTTTTGCTTTGCATAGTTTCACAAAAGAAAACAGGCTATGATTTTACTGTAATGCGAATATCAAGAGTATTAACCTACAGTACAATATAGGACTACTTTTTACACAGTAGATGTACTAATTATTCCTTCCAACATACCAGTATTTTAAAGTCTTACCTCTTCAGCTGGCTACAAAGATGTAAAACTATGATGCTATAGCATAAGCAACTCCTTCGTTCATCTACAAATTAAACTTTCTGGATTGCTGCTGAGCTACATGAAACCTGAGCTCACCTGCTTACGTAGCTGTGTTGATTTTGACAACTTCATAAAGGTCAGATGGGGCTTAAAAGCTCTTTCTTCTCCTGCCAAGATGCCCTTTTCTTGAAATATCTTCCTCATAGTCTCTAAGAGGGGAAGAAAATGTAGAGGAACTCAGAAATTAAACCACAGAATGCTTAAAAGTGTGTTTCCGACTGTAGTATGAGTCACAACCACTCCAGTATTTAAAAAAAGTATATAATACCAAAAGGCAGAGAGGTTTCTACACAACTTCAAAGGTATTCACTGTTTCATGCAAAAATCTTCTTGCATTTGCAATTAGTATGGGTCACAAATTTGGCATTAGTAAGATAATGGCAATTAAATAGCAATCAGTGCTGCCTTCTTTTGCCATCAGATTAAAACAGTCCAGGAGTTCTCACTGAAAAGTTTTGCAAACTCCAGGAAGACTATAAACAAATACCAAAATTTTCTGTCTTTAAAAATATTGTTCTGTGATAAGTCCTACTTTCTCTATTTGGGTAATATTCCTCTTAGACTAAAGGAATCCTGAAGTTGGAAGCTATAAAGTCTGTCACTGAATTTATGTGGCACAGCTGGAAGACATGCTAAGTATACTGAAGTTAGATTCTTATTGTTCTACTTTTTTAGTCTTCACTGTTGCCTTTCAAGTTCTTTTTCTAATTTTGAAATACACATTTGTCTACCACAAAGGTCAAAGCAGCTCTACTACACAGAGCTTGCTTACCATATCACAGCTAATCTGCCCAATATAATGTTTTGTTTCTTGGAAATAAATTTCAGTGTAATTTTTGAACTAGGCTTTATTTTTAATCTGAAATACTATAAATGAAAAATATCTGTTGTAATTTTGAAATTTCAGATGAAATAGATAAAACCTGTGGCAAACAGAATATTCCTATTATTGAAAAACAGAAAAACTGCTAACATTTTTTTTCTGCGCAAATACAACTTCAAATTTTTCACTAGCTGTAAATCTAGATGACACACGCTATCCTTGAGCTAAAATCGAAACAGGAAAAAAAAATCCTATCAGATGAATTTAATCTACTCTTACTATAATCATGTATCTGCAGTAACGTGAATTACTTCTGGTTGAAATGCTTGAGCTGTATCAGAAAGATCCACTGCATTATTCTTCTCCTTGGAAGGAAATGCATTACACTGGGAAGTGAAAAGCAAGGCTAGACGAAAAAAGGGAAGGCCCAATAAACCAAAATTCAGGCATTTAAAGCTGGCTAGCACGAGTCTGCCAGTTCACACATTCTTCTAGTACTTACTCTTACCTTTTTGATTGTTTGCTATAGTAAATATATGTGAGATACTTTGGAATCACATACAAGAGATTTTACAAGCTTGTGCATGACTTCACATCAGAGGAGTTCTAAAAAATACAGTTCTATATAAGATGTCTTAAAACTGGAAGGCTGATATATTTCACTTGAACGGAGAGAAAAGATTCTAGAGATCCCATGAAGTTTT